GCACACTCGGAACAAGCATTTCAACACTCCTCCTTGGAATCTTCCTTCGGATGATTCCACTCTTTACAGCCGGAGTGGGCTTATTGATGATCGTAGTGCGGCCACTTGCTCCACAAGAAGCTTCATGCAATTTTGTAGCACACATCCAGACAGCTCTTTCTGGCATCATTCAAACATGTCAGCTCGTCCGTCGAGGATGTAGCCGTCTTACTCACATGCAAATTTCACCCTCATCTGGTGAATAATGGCCGACGGCCTGCACAGTAGTTGCAGTACTCTGACGCAAATACCGTTCCAGCATTCCTTTGGCCATGACATTCGCGGTTTGTATGAACCTTGCTCCTGTGGTCTGTAGTCTTCCAGAACAAGTTCACGGGCACATCGTCTGGGACGGGGCGATCTGCATACACCACCCTTGTCTCAATCCTCGTATCTGGCTCTGGAAGGGGAGGAGTTTGCGTGGCAGCCGTTCTTGTGACTGCTCTTGACAGCGTAGGAGGGTCGCTGGTCGACAATCGAAGGGACCTTCTCAAACTGGTTGTCTCAGCCTCCAGTTCACGTCGCAAGGTCTCTTTGTCCAACTCCTCCTGTGCTGCGGATCTTGCCACGTCACGTAGCTTCCTCAACCTTCTCTCCTTGGTGGTTTCGTCCCTGATCCCAAGGACCCATGCAACTCCCTTTTTCACAAGCTCCCACAAACCAACTGCTGCAATGCAAACCAGAACTGTAACCACTGTGAGCTCATCCCATCCAGCTAGCGAAACCGTCTTGGGAGGGCTGCTTGTCTCAGAGGCTTCCACAGGTACCGTTTGCAAGGCAATAATCACACAAAGCAAGGTTGCGATCTTCACCCGCTCATTGATTCGCGCCAGAGGACCTCCAATGAACCCCCACAGGCTCATCAGCTCTGACATCCGTAGCTTGCTATGTAGCTTTGTAGGCAAGTCTGCTAGCTGCTTCTGTCCACTGATATGATTCACGGTCAAGGCTCCTTGCTGGACTAGATCCGAAATGAAAGCACATCGGACCTTCAAGTGACGAGTGCGCCATGATCCCTGACATCCGTGAATGATCGACACAGCTGCACTGTTGTCTACCAAGAGTATTTGCGGAACGTGTTTGCCCACAATCTCCTGGACCAATGCTTGTATCCCCTTCATCAGCAGGGTTGTCTGAGCAGCTTCGTAAAGCTCCGCTTCAGCAACCGACATCGTAGCAAATGCTTGCCTTCCACACTTCCACGCAACAACAGAACCATTCAAGGTTATGGTAGAAGCTCCGTATGACCGTCCTCCAAACGGCGCAAAGGACGCATCCGAGAACCCTTCTAAAACCAACCCTACGCTTGCTTTGTGGGTGGTTGCTGTTGGTATGTCTGCTGCTGCCGTGGTTGTTGTGCTTGTGTTCTCGACTGGTTGTCTTCCCCCAAGCTGTAGCTGCACCTCCACCGAAGCTGCCAGGTAAGCCATCACCTTTAAGCCCACGCGGTAGACATGACACGGTCTCCTTGCCAGGGCTGAAGCCATCATCGTCACGATGAAAAGGATGTCCGGTCTCGACCTCGTCACGCATAGTAGTTCTCCGGTTATTTTCTGAGCCCGTCGGAGCTCATCGGGTGTGAACTCCTCCTGAGCCTCCGCGGTATCATCCTCGTCAACCAACCATTCGCGAGGACACGGTAGTCGAACTTGCTGCCCGGGTTCAAGATCATAACCTCTTACAAGACTTTCCAAATAGCCTCGTTGGGAGATGAGGAAGTGACCCTCCTTTGCTTGCTCAATCTCGACGCCCAGGTAGCGGGTTCCATCCGAGGTCCACTCTAACGGACTGCTGGGCCAGTCTTCACAAAGCCATCCGTGCAGTGCAACTATAACCTCTTTCTCCGCCAGGTAGAGCAGATCATCAACGTAGGTCACCAGGACACCTGTTAAAACGTCCGGAGCGTTGTCAACGGAGTAGAGGATCATCCAGACCTCAGGGTCCACTATAGACGCCCGCAGCGTAAGGAACCCATCTGGCCAGGGCACCTTTGCGGACTTCAGCCTCTGCCTCCGGAAATCACTCCAGATTGCCGGGCTCTCTCTCAATCCATAGAGAGCCCGGTGCACTTCCCATGCTTCCGACTCCGTGGCCCTTTCTGCAAGGATCAAGGTCTTTGGCGGTATGATGGCATACTTTCGCATGTGGTTAGGCCAAGGCGCCAGTAGAAAGGCCCCTTGGATATCGGACCCAGCCCCTGCCCAGTAGCATGCACTCGCCAAAGTGAGGGCTACCCGCATGGAGTCTGCGGATGCTCCAGCAGCGTATAGTTCGGCTTGGCTTTGTCCCTCCGGCCTCTCGGCAAAGTTTCCGCAAAGAACCAGGCGACACTTCCTCCTCCATCTGGCGGCAATGTCCTTTGTCTTGCTCGCATCCTGGGTCTTTGGCGCTGCCCCTTGATTGGGCGGCTTGCACGTAAACACCAACTTGCTCGGGACAATCACCAGTTCTCCCTTCCTCTCACGCTCTCGGGCTTCCTTCATGGAGATGCGCTTCAGCGTCCCATTGTTGCCGTCTTTGAACAAAGTTCCGAGCTCCTTGTCGATGGCAGGGACCCAAAGCTGCAAGTTCCTTTTCACTTGATCCAGCGGCACGTTAAGCACAACTTGTAGATCTCCGGTGAGCTCGCTGAGGTGCTTCTCGACGTCATCCAACGTGTTGTCCTCCAGCTCCTCAGTCTGGAAACCCTTCAAGCAGTGTTCTACTTCTTGTTGCTCAACATGACCCACTGCATCGCCCGTTTGCTCCATCATGTCAATGATCATTTGGTGGGTTTGGTCCACCTCTTCTGTGACCTGTTTGCCAAGTCTTCGATACTCCTCCAACAGTATCTCCTCCTCCTCAAGTAGGCGCCGTAGAGCAAGGGAGCGTTCCTGCATGTCGTCCAAAAGGTCCTTCTGGTCCTCGCTCAACATAGCCAGACCTTCACCCCAGGTTGAAGTCTCCTCTTGGCTAGGAGGCTCAAATAGAGACTCCGCTGCACCACCCTCTCGTTCACCTTGATCCTGCTCATCAGGGTCACCTCGTTGCTCTGGTAAGTTGAAACCCAGCCCACGAAGTTCTCTTTCGGTCTCTTCCTTCAAGCTGGTAAGTCTTGGAGTGTAGGTGAGTAGGGCAATGCGAGTCCCAGTCCAAGGCTCTGTTTGATGCCATTGTCCCGGCGAGAAGGCAACTGTTTTCCCAGGTTGTAGTTCATGAAGTTTCCCACGCTTCCATTGACCCTCGGCGACTTGTCTCCACTCATCATCGTAGCTGTAGTCGCCCTCTTTCTTCTCAACCCATACCTCACCATTGGCAAAGTCATTCAAGGCCGTGATCGTATTCTCGGTTCCCTTTTGGTTGTGACTGTCGCGATGCGGGCCCATGCCAACATTCTCAACGATAGCCACACAGCCAAAATGGCTTTGTCCGGTTATCTCCTTCGCAGCCTTCACCAGGTAGGCCGTGGTATTTGGAAGTTGCCGGGCCAATTTCATGACTCCACAAACTCCTCCATGAACGTAACTGCCAGTGTAGAAGGACTCGGAGTTCTCATCCACGGTTGACATCTTTGCGCCCCGTCTCCTTGGTCTTGGAACCTCCTTAAGCCTTTCCCAGAGGCGTAGCACGTCATCAACTTCATACATTTCCTCCACATCCAAGTCTCTCGCGTAGGACTCGATCTCGTTGTACACACTAGTGAGCAGGGCCAGCCTGGCTTTCGTTCTCAACCTTCTTGTCGGAACAGGTAGATCAACCTCTACGGGCTCGTCGTCAGCGATAGCCTCCGCATTCGCCAAACCTTCTCGTACATGGCAACTAGTGACAAAGGTTCCGTCTTCGTACCTCACCACCAGGCCATTCTTCACGTCACTGCTGTAGCCCACAAACCGACCCTCGCCCCAACGGGGGTTTAGGTCATACGAGCCCCCGGTTCCGAAGACCTTTGACTTCACCGCAACCCGTGCTCCAAAGCCTGGGTCCTTGGCGAGAGGTTGTGCTAAGGCTCGTAGGCGCTGCCTCTGAGCTGCGTACCTCATAGCCAGGGGCCAACATTCTCGTGGAAGTGACGAACTCGCAAGTAAAACCTTGGCATACTTCTTCAGGTTCTTCACCGCAGCTTCGGCTCGGCCATTTTGTTGGGGCGTTTGGGATTCTCCAGTAGTAACCCAAACATCTTTCTCATACAGCCATTGTCTCAACGCCGACGACTTGAGTTCGCGTGCTCTATCTGAGTGCACTCGGGGTAACTGGATGTCCTTCTTGACGGAGTTGCAAGTACATTCGCCTCATGGCCGCGTTGACATCAACCTTCTGTCTGGACTTGAGGGGTATCACGTACAACAACGTCTGAAACTCCAAGGGCTCGCCCACTTCCTTGACAACCTCGCTGTAGAACTTCTTATAGTCCTCGTTCTTCTGCTCCAGTTCAACTTGGTCACCAGGAGAGAGTGGAATGTCCTCGACTTCTTCTTCCTGGAGAAACTCGTCCTCCTCCTCAAGCATCAGACCCACACCACCGCCATCATCTGCATCTGGTTGCAAGCTGTCTGGATCACGTCTCCCATCGGCTTCCGGTTGTAGTGGATTTGGATCGCTCTTCCCATCGGCTTTCGGTTGTAGCGGATCTGGATCGCTCTTCCCATCGGCCTTCGGCAACTCCAGAGGAATGTCCACGTCCTTGTATCCTTCAAGCCTCGGCATACAGTATGAACCCACAAGTGCGTAGCGGTACTTGCCATCAGCGTCGATTCCTCTGGTCCTGAACGGACCCGCTACATCAACACTCAGAACATGAGCCGAAGGATTCAAGACCCTTCGGTGTGGCCTCCCGGAGCCAGCATTCACAACGCAAGTTCGGCACCTTTTATTGAACGGAACGTGTCCATCCCGAACGTGCTTGGCCCACTGCTTGAGTTCCTTCTCGGACATGTCCTCCAATCGTCCCTCCATTTTGCAAAGAAGCTGGGCTTGACGTACTTGGTCTGGCCGCTTGTTCCATTCCAGCATTCCATCACGCACTGCTCTTAGCAAGCTTGTTGTCCATGTGGTGGATACTCCCTTCTCAACCCTGGGCTCCTTGACATGGTTGACGAAGTTCATATTTGTTGCGGCGTGGAACACTTGGCCCTGGCCTGCCTCCAAGCTCACATGGGACAGCTGATACTCATCCCGGAAATTCCTCCACTCATCTGACTTCCACCAAGCCATCTCACCGGGGTACTCCATAAAGAGGAAGGGCTTCTTGAGGTTGTTAACCGCTGCTCCCCTTTCAGCCACCATCCAAGTGTACATCAGCTTCCTCCTGAGCTCGTCACCCTCTCTTCTGGGAGGTCCTCCGAGGATACCCTCTAGCTGTCCCCGGCATCCCGCCCACATTAGGGCCCGAAGAACATTGTTCCAGCCCTTCAAGTTGTACATCTTGGACCGCTGCAAGTCAATTTCCAAGACCACGATGTCCTCAGTTTCAAACTTCTTCAACTCGTGGGAGGCGGTCTCATTCTTTCCATCATAAAGGTGAACAATCCATCGTGACCCATGGAGCCTTCGCCTGAACTTCCGGTTCACGGGTAGCGACTTCAAGTACCCAAAGCCTGCGTTGTCGCTCAAGTCAATGTCCTCGGAGCGCACAAAGCTGAACCTGTCCGTCACGGTTTCCAGATTAAGTGGGAAACTGGAATCCATCATCGCCGCCAGAGCGCTGCTTCTCTTTCCTGTTTTCACATAGGCCTCCAAGTAAGCGCTCCAAGGGAGTGAGGCAAAGGAAGAGGAAGTGGTCCACAAACTCCTCATTGTAGTTTGCTGCAGCCTCTCCAAATTCTTATCCTCAATCTCCGCGATAAGCTTCAAAGCTTCGAGTTCAGAGATATAGGGGCAAGTCCCTCGCATCTTCACTTGAAGGTCACCGTGCTCAGGATGAATAACGCGGAGGCCTTGGCGTTTTGACCAGCTTATTGAGCATCCCAGCTGCTGCACCAGCGCCCCAAGGGGCACTATCGGTGCCTGAGTGGTTTCACTCTTTGCCTTGAGCAATGTTCCTGTATTTGTCTGCTTCAACTCCACCATTTGGCCGTCCGCCAGCTCCACACCAACGTTGTTCGCAGCCTCAAGCTCATTTGCATCCACCGGACTGCGAAAGGGGTGGGACGCGCCTGAATCTAAAAGGGCCAACCCATGCTGGTCCATTCCAGCAGACCTCAGCAGAAGTTCCAGGTCCTCGGCGGCCTTGTTGGTGTCCTCCACCTTCATTGTCATCAGCTGGATCTTGCTCAGCATAGAGCTTGCCTCACGCAGCAACTTCTTCATTTCCTCACGCTGCGCTGCTGCCTCAGTTGCCGCCGTAGATGCCGAAGACGATGATGATGCAGCTTCTGGTTGTGCCTGCGCTCCAGCACTTCCGGTTTCTACCGCTGGCTGTTGTACTTGCGCAGCGCTTGCCGTCGCCGTTGTAGCTGTCGTTGACGTAGACTGTCCCCCAGTAGACTTGCCACTTCCTTTCGCTCCTCCCCCACTGGTTGTTGGGCACTCTTGCTGTCGGTGCCCCGTGGCTCCACAGGACCAACACCGCTGCTTTCGATCGGCTCTGGAGGCAAATTCATGGGTGTATGTGCAGCTGGCTCCCCTCTTGCATCCATTCTCCGACTGAAAAAACTTACAAGGGCCCTTTCCTCGCTTGGGAGATCCACTCGGAGTTCCTGATCCTCCTGTTCCTTGGCCGGTGTTCGAGGCTGTTGTAGCTCCCTTCAGCTTGGCGTGGTCCGGCTTGTTGTTGGGAATGGCCTGTTGTAGCTCCGCCAAAAGGTGCTGGTAGTACTTCAAGACCGTCTCTGCCGTAGGTGACGAAGCCAATCTGAGTTCATTCTTTGCCAAGGTCAACCTGAACTTCACATCCGGGAGCCTTTCAAGGGCCTTGAAGGTTACGGCTTCCAATCCCTTGAGCTGCAGGCTAGCGTCTGGCAGCGCGATTGCCATCTCCTCAGCTCTTGCGAGATGCCTTCGCCATCGTCTGAGCTGAGCCACAACCTCACCAGGATCTTCAGGTCCCACAGTGCCCTCCAGGTGTTTCAAGATTGCTGTGCGCTCCAAAGCGCCACCTGGCTGGTAGATCACATGAAGTCTGTAGAGGACACCCGCCACGGACTCTATGCGGTGTGTGATGGTGTCCTCCTTCACCGCCTTTGGCATTGCCGCCAAAAGGAGCGAAAGAACACGACGCTCCAGACGAAACCACTTCGGGTCCTTCAAAGAGTCAGTAAGGTCAGGGTTTATGCTGAGCCGCTCAAGTGCTGACGCATTCTGGTACTTCACATAGGCCTCTCTTGCACACTGAAGGCACTGACCAAACCAAGCACTTGCATTATCCGTCAAAGCGCCTAGCATCTGCTCGGTGACATACATCCAATCATTGAACTCCACTGCTGCATCACCGGGCTCTGGCATCTTTTGCAACTCAACACTTCCCTTTACGGCCTCCGCCTCCGAGTGGTCCTTCTTGTTCATCTGAAGCTGTTGCAACTGTCTCATTCCCTGCACCAACAAAT